AGAAACCAGTTGATGAACAGTTTGAAAGAACAACCAAGTAATTTCACTTACTGACATCGATCTGTGCATTTAAGTGTTATCTGACATAAGCACATGATGTTCTGTTGGTGTACTTGTGGAAAAGGCATTTAGATAAGACTTGAAGATGTACAATAACAGGGAGCCACATACAATAGTTACTGTGCAGCTATCAAGTTTTATATAATAAGTCAAATCATTCTCGCATTTTGATTGGGTCTTACTTATGATCTACTGGAGGACAGTCAGACATATAGATGATGCATTAGCATTTCGTTGTTTAGACTTCATAATATACAACAGATAAAGTCTATGTCCAGTAATACATGTAGATCACAGATGATGTCAAAACGTGGTAAGAACATCAGCGACACACTCCCTCAGGGCTTGTGTGGATTTTTTTGTTCTTACCACATTTTGACATCATCTGCACGGATGCATGGCAACATGGCATCTATTTAAAATAGAAGACAGGCTGGCAAGTGCAGTGGGCAGGTCGTTCTGGACAATTTCATATCAACCCAATCCTGTCCTGTACTAATCAGTTCTAAGGATTGTTTCCTTTAGAACAAGAAATTCCTCCATGAGAACTGTTAGATGATAAAAATAAGTTAACATGTGAAAAATTCCAACAGGATGTTGTCTATGCATAATAACCTTATGAAGCGATACCAAAAAGAGTTAAAGACCAACACAGCTCAAGTGGAGCAAATCACTACTTTGAGTGTAAGTGTTACAGCTGGACTGCAAGAGGTTTTGAATGAGACTTTCCGTCTTCACACAAAGGTCAAGAGGACATAACAATTCTATCAGTTCTTTCAATAACATTGAAACTAACTAAACCAGTTTACCGTATCACATGGCATTTCTAACCAAAGGTAGAATATGCTTAAGAGGTTTGAACAAGGCTTTGTGAGAGTTTGCTTTCAATAATATTGTTTTGTTGCATCCATCATGGTCATGTTTGTATTTCTCACAATCTTTATGACCTGTAGCTACCATAAGTCTGTGCAGGCTCTTTACTCTAACTGCCAGAAACCTTTCCACGTATGTCCCAAGTTTTGGTACATCTTAGGGTGTTCAGCCTTAAAAGGTCCACAGCAGGAGCATTTGCCGTATCTTTTAGGGTACTGAGCCGAAAAAAGTATGATAGGAGATAATGACTTGTTTTGACATTGGTACATCTAAGGGGTAAAAGAAATTTCAAGCCACACCCACAAAACAGGCTGGACCTTGCTACCTTTCAGAGTTCATTACAAAATTTCAGACGAGCACCCCCGGCCTTTTTATGTGGGAGTCCTCTTCCGAGGTATGACTGACAGTGGTAACAGTTTATTCTTGATATTTATTAATAATTTGATTCCACAGCTGGAAAACAGAGATTTGGAAAAGAAACTCCACGATGCCCAAAGTAAAATAGAAGAGCTACATAAAGAGAAAGATGCTCTTCAGACAAGGATTAATGCAGTGGGAATTAAGAAAAGGCTAACACCTTCTAAAAGAGGTAGAAATGCTTGCTTTTTCTCTTGAAAATAAAATAAAACATTTGACAGATGTGATTTTGTTATATTTTTATTCAATCAGATTTAATGGCTGAACTCCGCAAGGTTTCACAGGAAAGAGACAGACTTGCTAATGAAAGAAAAAAGTTCAAAGGTTAGGAGCTAATTAAAATAGTGTTTGGCTGGCACAGGCAATAGCTTCGATATATTCTATTGCAAATGCAAAAATTATTTTGAAATCAAATAAGTTGCAAGGTGTATTAAAAAAATAAATTTTTAGAATACTCCATGGGCAATTTCCATTCAAGCATTTCAATGAATGAAATACTAGAATAAAAACCAGCTGGGGAATCAGATTCTGTCCCTCACTTGCCAGACAGTGCCGGGAAGCTTTTTGGGAAATTTTTTGAGGAAATTTAAATTATAGACTGAAGTACTGTAAGAAATGAATTTTTTTGAGGTTAGTAAGAATAAATCTCAAGCTATTATATCATAGATTAGTTACAGCTTGCCTGAGGGGCAAGCCCAAAAATTTGTTTTCTTTGTACCCTGGTGTGTGGTGTGTGTAAGGATATAGCCACTTAGCCCTTTGCACGCATTTCATGCCTATGATGTTGTACCATAGTAGAATAGACAGGGTAGAGAGGGTAAAAGCCAGAGAGCCCTTTGCAAGTGTTATGTCATGGATCAAAATTTATCAGTTTTCAACTTTGATTTAGCATACATTGTTTTCTACAGATGAACTCAAGATGCTGGACAGAGTAAGTAAAACATTGCAAAATATGTCTGCATCAAATGCCAACTTCCACTTCTCACCCTTATCTCCTAGCAAATAAAACTAAAACTGTAGGATCACTGTGCAGTCCACAAACTGCTCAGCGATAACTTGTGATGCCACAGATCTGTGATCAGAAATTATTTAACAAAACCATTTTCCAACCTCAGGTACATGTACATGCAATTGAGCCCTGCTAATACCTTTCTCTTACTCCTCATCCCTACTTTAAATTCTAAGCTACTGGACTTGGAGAAAAGGACACATTAACAGTCTAGTAGTAAGTAATCAAATCCAAATTGCTAAGCATGCACTGGTAACTCAGGCTTTGTGAACAAATTTCAATCTCTTGCAGTGCTATGAGATCTATGTGACTCTCTGCCACAGGCAGTGTTGCATGACAATGTCCGCCACCAGGATGGTGATTGAGAACACCTGAAATATATTCTAAACAATCTAAATGCTATAGATGTATTTTGGAAATTGTCATGCAACACCTCCAAAAGGGGAATTTCATATAGATCTTATAGTACTACAAAAGATTGACATTTCTGTACAGAGCCAGATCAAGTGCCTGTGCTAAGTCGAGTTTTTCTGATAAGGGGTATTCTTGATCTTCTTAAGGGCTTTGCTGAAGAGATAGAAAAATTAGATTTAGAATTCAGGCTTTGTGTACAAATTTCAATCTCTTGCAGTGCTATGAGATCTATGTGACTCTCTGCTGGAGGTGGTGTTGCGAGAAGGTGTCAGCCACAAGGATGGCGATTTCCAAATGTAAAGAGAACACCTAAAATTTAATCTAAACAGTGTAAATGCCATACATGTCTTTTGAAAAGAATTGTCATGCAACACTTCCTAAAGCATAATTTCACATAGATCTTATAGTACTACAAAACATTGACACTTGTGTACAGAGCCAGATCAAGTGCCTGTGGCAAGTCAAAATTTTCTGATAAGGGACAGACCATTATTATTTTCCAAGAAGAATTCCTACACAGCAAAAACTGCTGAAAACAAAATTGTGCAAGGGAAGCCACAGGGAAAAAAATCAAGCTGGCCAAGTGCTTTCTACTTTCATTATTCTGATTTTTGATGTTAAAAAAATTCCTGCACAAGCTATTGCCCACTGAAAAAAATCACGCCCAACCTAACGGTGAGCAAAAATTTCATGAATCAAAGAAAATTGCCCAACCTCCATCCCCCCCCCCCC